CTCACCTACATCGTCCATATAGGACGACTCGGGAACTCAACTCCTACCCCGGGCAGCTCACCTATCCCCTTATGCCCAGGGGAAAGGTATCAAGCCGTTTGACAGCTGATGCTAGCTGTCAAACCGGCTTTTACGCGAAACAGGCGGGAGGCAGCAAACAGCTGCGACCGACGAAGACGCCTGCCACCGGAAGTCCCCGCCGATAAATCTCTTCTTACATAAATAACCACCACCCCTTTTTATCTGGGGCTGAGGCAATAAAATGTGATCCCAGCTGAGAACTAATCAAATACTTTTGATCTTTCGCCACAATATGAATCTCCTGCAAGCAAACAATGTCATTTTTATGTTGTTTCAAGTAGTGAAATACTTTCTTTCTTTTCTGTGGTGAATTCAGGCCATTAACATTCCATGTCAGTAGCTTTGCCATCCTTGGTGGCCTGGAGCCTCTGGAACACTACTTGAAGATCAGCCGTTAATCTCTTCGGTCGTGCCCCTCCCACAGGCTCTGTAGTAACCGGGCCTTGTATTATTGATCTAGAATTAGCCTTCTGCGTCTGCTCCTTGTCTTTACGTCTATACGCAACATGAGTCATCCTCTGTTCCTTTGAATCATCCTTTAGCTCCAAACTTTGTTCAATAGGCCCCGCCTGCATTAAATCTCCTACCACCAATGACATTGCGCCTTCAACTTGTTTATCTTCTAGCCTTTCTTCTATTCTCTTAGGTTGTGGAGATGGTGGTGAGCCTGCTTTCAGGACATTAGTATAAAAATATTTTGCCTTTAAAATTGTATTAAGTCTATATTGTGCCCTGTATAATTCACCACTATTCCAATAGGTATCTCCCATCTGAACTGGACCTGTCGATTTTTAAGCTCCTCAGACAGAAAGGCAAAGTCTTTTCTTTTTCTAAGAATTTTTGAAGGTATTTCTTTTAAAATTATAATATTTTGATCTGCAATTTGAAATCTCTGTTTATAAAAAGCCTGGATAATTGCATTTCGAAGTGATCTCCTGAAAAAATAAATAACCACATCTCTAGGTAAATTTTTCTGCCTCGCAATCCATGAATTAACCCTAAATATTTTATCCATCTCTCTTAATAATTCCTCAGATTCACATCCCAGAATAGGAGCTATAGCCTTTGCCACCTCCTCTTTCAAATCTTCTCATGAATCCTCCCTTAATCCTCTTATTCGCAATGCAAATTCCATATTTCTATATTGTGAGATGGTAACTTCATCCTCTGTTATATCAATCTTATTTTCAACTTTGACAACTCTACTTCCTAGTTTTTCAGTATTTTCCACAACTTCATCCACCCGGTCATCCAAACGTGCTATATGTGTAGCTAACCCTTGAAATGCAAGCAATATATCTTCCCTCATTTCTCTATTTTTATTCTCAAGAAGGTCAGCCATCTCCTCCTTTATTTCTTGTGTTGCTGACTTTAAAGCATCTTGAATATCTTTAAATGTAAATGCAGGTGGTGGGGGAGAAGGGGGGGGAATCTTGGCTTAGATTGCACTGCAGGCTGTATTACAGGAGAGGAGATTGTACCTTTAGAAACAGCAGAAATTCCCAAACGCTTTGAAGCCATTTTCCTGTCTGTAAAAATCCACTTCTTATAAGTTTCACTTTCCCCCTTTCAAACAAAGAAACAGCATTCCGGCGCCATTTTTCCCTTTTAAGTCCAATTAGAATATGGAGAAGATTATTTCTCCCCGAGTTAAAGTTTCCAGCACTTGCAATTTTAAATTCTCCTGGTCAGCTCTGTCTGCTTTTAAATTACTCACAAGTCCCTTTAAAATGCAGATGTGGATGTGTCATCTTGCTTTGCTCCTGAAGCTCCAAGCAAAGGCGTCCTGGAGTGCGGAGAAAGCCTCAGGCTCCGAGGGAACTCACCCTCCGACCTCCAAATAATTAAGGAGGTCTGGGGGAGCTCTACCTCTACCCGAGGAAAACTCTCCTCCCCCTCTTCTCCTGAGGAGGAGGTTTTCAAGCCGCGGGACAACTGATTTTCGCTGTCTCCGCGCGCTTTTCACACAATCACAGGGCTGGCAGCTAAAAGAAAGCCGCCATCAGCGCAGCATCACCACCGGAAGTCAAGGCACAGTTGTTAATACTTTTACAGACAGTAAATTTGCTTTTGGTGTTGTAAACATACATAGTGCCTTGTGTAAGACGCTCTGTTAAATATGGATCTGAAATACTGAGATTATTGGTTGCTGTTTTGCTTCCCAGCAAGGTAGCCATTATGCATGTAAGGGCCCATGGTAAAGATGAAAGTAAACACAGCCAGGAAAATGCCCTGGCAGACTGCATTGCCATGTCTGCTGCCTCAGGTCCCCTTTTCCCTTGGTATGTTTGTGCACTCATTCTTTCCCATTTGCCTATGCCATCTCCTTTGTATACCTTACAGGATAGACACAGAATGTATAATATGGGTGCTGTTTATCAGGGGAATTGATTGGAAAAAGATGGGGAAAAAACTTCTCAGTGCATGAATTGTGGGCCCTCTTGAGAGAATTACATGCAAGTACACATTGGAGCTCCAAGGCTGCGGCTGAACTCCTCATAAAGAACTATATTTGTCCTGGAATCTTCAAAAAGGCTCTTACTGTGGTCAGGCAATGAGTTGTTTGTCAGAAAAACAATCCAGCAAAACCCCACTTGGGGTTCCTCTTGGGCAAGCTTAGTCAGGGCCATGCTTAAGTTGGCAAGAAGGTGACAAGCAGCAGGGAGAAAGTGGAACTGTTTAATTCAGTGATGGTGAACCTATGGCACGCGTGCCAGAGGTGGCACTCAGAGCCCTCTCTGTGGACACATGCGCCATTTCCCCAGCCCTGCCTCCCCCCACGGCCCCCTCCTCACCAGCAGCTCCCCTGGAGGAGAGTTGCCCCCCGGCGTGGCCCACGCAGAGCAGCGCAACCAAGGACATGGCAGCCAGGCAGCAGGGACAAGACTCCGCCCTTGCACCCCGTCGCGTGCAGATGATGCTGGAGGGCGTGGCCATTATGGCACTGCAGGGCCGCCTGGGTGATCTGCAGCAGGCTGTGGAGACGGTGGGTGGACCTGCAGGCGGGCAGGGCAGGGGGCAGAGCGGGGGTGGGCTGGGTGGTGGGGTGGTTTTGGGGCACTCGGTCTCTAAAATGTTCACCATCACTGGTTTAATTCCTACTTTGCATCTCTTCATGTAAAAGGAAAAAAATAGCCCAACCTATCAAAAGGAACACTGTGGGAAACAGAACAGGAATGCAGGTCAAAATAGGCAATAAAATTGATAAGAGAATACCTATCCACTTTAAACAAGTTCAAATCGCTTGGAACTAATTTGTTTACATTCTAGGGTACTGAAGGAGCTGACAGATGTGATCTCAGAACCACTGAACAAAATCTTTCAGAGCTCCTAGAATACAGGAGAACTGCCAGAGAACTGGAAAAGAGCTGATGTGATTCTAGTCTTTAAAAAGGGGGGAAAGGTGGATCCAAGAAACTATAGACCAGTGAATTTGACATCATCACCTGGGAAATCCTGGGAAACATAAGCAGCAGCTTTATGAGCACCTAGAAATGAACAAGGCAATCACTAGAAGCCAGTATCGGTTTGTTTGTTAAAACAGGTACATTGTCTCTAAGACAGGTAAATCCAAAATGACAGGATAGCCTTTGTACATGTTTTTATTTCATGGTGAACCCATGCTGATGAGAACATACATGCATACAATTGTATGCATGCAAATAATCTTTTCTCCATTTTGCTTCTGAGAAGTTAGTGTTTTTTGTAAAGTTGAGATTATGCTAGAAATATTTTTCACAAAAATGTATGTGTACATGTTTTCACACATAGATGAAAGTTATTAATTGCAGAAGGTTGAAAATTAAAGTGACAGTATACACTTTCATTAACTTTCTTTTATATTTTCTGAAGTTTTGCAACAGATATTATTAACATATATTATGGAAGTGAAGAAGCAGTGTGTGAAGACTTGGAACTCCAGGCTTTTGTGAAGGACATCTTTGTCTATGGGATGAGGGGCAACAAGGATTCAGGTGATGTACAACTTCTACTGCCGTCCAGTTCTCTGTTTTGTGTTCCAATGCACTTAAGTTGATGTAATAGAACTTTCCTTCTTTGGACCAATTCTATAGCTTATTTCTTTAATACATTTCAAACAAACAAATCTCTTCCTTTTCTGACAAAAATGGAAACCTGAGAAAAAATTAAAAATAAATATATATATTTAAAAAATATTAAGACTATTCCATTGGTAACAGTGGAATAGGAACAATGTATATCAAAACGATAAATGACAAAGTTTCTTGGATCTCAATTGGAATCCAAGCATGGAACAAGTCTATGAAGAATGCTTGGGGAGCGTACTTATCTGGTTATCTGGGAACAATTTGATCCTGTTTGACTTGATACAGTGCACAGAGTCCTTGATGCTGTCAGTGCAACTACCTGTCATTTACATCCATGTCCCTCCTGGCTGGTGAAAGCTTCCACAACAGTGACCTCCAGGTGGGTTCAGGCAGTGATAATCACATCATTGCAGGATGGGATGTTCCCAGGATCTTTTAGGGAGGCTTTGATCTGCCCCCTGCTCAAACAAACATCATTAGATTCCACCTGCTTGGACAACTTTCATACAGTTTATCACCTTCCCTTGGCAGCTTCAGAGGGTCCTGGATGAAACAGATTATTTGGACCCTTTCCAGTTTGGTTTCAGGCCTGATTATGGGACAGAAACAGTATTGGTCCACCTGTCGATGATTTTGGTGAGAGCAGGGTAGTGGTAGTGCATCCATCCTTGCTCTCTTTGACCTATCAGTAGCCTTTGATATCATCAACTATGGTATTCTTTTGGGCCAGCTGCAGGATCTGGTGGTGGGTGGCACAGTTTTGTGCTGGTTTGGCTCTTCTGGTTCTGATTGGGATTAATAGGGATCAAAGTTCCAAATCATAGTCACTTGTGGTGTGCCATAGGGTTCAGTACTCTCTCCACTCCGTTTTAATATCTACATGAAGCTGCCGGGTGAGATCATCCACCAGCATGGGATGAGGCATCATCAGTATGCTTTATATTTCTATCCCAGGTGACCTAAATGTTGCTGTTATTGCTTTCTTATGGTGGCTGGAGGCTTTGGGGATCTGGATGGGGGAATTGCAAGGTGCATTGGTTGCCAGTTTGCTTCTGAATCCAATTCAAAGTATTAATTATCACCTTTAAAGTCTACTTGTAGAATTGTCTCAGCCTAATGGGATTGGCTCACCCCAGTTGTTTTAGCAGAAGGGGCATACTGTGAACCCTGTAGATCAAAGAATTCTGGCAGGTAAGGCCCAGAAGAAAGGCTTTTTCTGCTGTGACTCCCATCCCTTTGAGGTGAGATCCACCCTTGTGGTCTTCCTAAACAGCCTCAAAATCTGGCCTGCCAAATGGCCTGGAGCTCTAATGGGGGCATTCCATGTTGGAGGTAGTTAGTGGACCAGAAAGATCTCACCCCCACCCCATTATATTCTGGTTTTTCAGATATTTAATCTGTATAAATGTTCATATTTAATGTTTCAGTGTTTTAATATTTTGATTTTGTAAGTTGCCTAGAGTCACCTAACCATGAGATGGGTGGCATATAAATTTAATAAATAAATTATAATAAAAGTTTGATGTCAAAAATGTTATCTACTATATTAGAAGGAGACCAGTAGAATCTCTTCTGACTAATAAAAGCTCATGCCTTTTAATAAGATCTGTTATTCAGAAAATATACTACCAGACTCCTTCTTGATCAGGAGACCTTATACCACAAGTGGTATGTGTGTGTGTGTGTATGTATATATACACACATGATGTAGCGTGACATATCACAATGTTTTTTGCCTTTGCGGAGCTGGGGTGGGCGTGGCCTGCATGTGATGCCTTCGATCTGCGGGCCACTAGTTTGACACCCCTGCCTTATAACATTCTGACTGCCCAATTTCTTCTTGAAAAGTTTTAGTGATGGTGCACCCACAACTACTGAAGGTAAGCCATTTCACAGATTAATTGTTCTCACTGCCATGAAATTTCTTCTAGGTTGGATCTCTCTTTAACAAGCTTCCACACATTACTTCTTGTCCTACCTCAGGTGCTTTGGAAAATAAGTCTTCCTCAAGTACTGGAAGACAGCTATCATGTCACCCTTAATCCTTCTCTTTGATAGGCTAGACATGCATAGTTCCCTTAACCATTCCTCACATAGTTTAATCTAGAGACCCCTTATCATCCCTGTTGCTCTTCTCTGCACTCTTTCGAGGGTATCAATTTCTTTTTTATATTGTGACAACCAGAACTCACCAGTGCAGTATAAAGTGGTACTATCACTTCACATAATCTTGCAGCCTTGGAATGCATTGGCTTTTTGGCAGTTGCACATTCTGACTTATACTTAAGTGGTGGTCCACTAGGACACCTAGATTCCTCTCACAGTTGCTACTATTGAGCCAGATACCATCTATTCTATATCTGTGCATTTGGTTTTTCTTGCCTATGTTTAGGACCTTACTTTTCTTACCACTGAAATGATTTTGTTGCATAGGGTCCAGTATTCAGGTCTGTTAAGATCCTTCTGAATCCTGATTCTATCTCTGTTAACTATTTCCCCCAGCTTAGTGTTATCTGCAAATTTAATGAGCTCCTCTTCTACTCCCTCATCTTGATAATTGATTAATATGTTGAAGAGTACTGGGCTTCAGACAGAACCTAGAGAGACTTGCGGTTTGCCGAGGCAGCCGATATGGACGTCTGGAAGGCAAGCTCTGTCTTCCGCATTCAGTTTTGCTTCGCTGGGGGACCCTGTAAAGGGTCGAAGGTCACCCTGTAGGAGCGACCAGCAAGGAGGGGATCCCCATCGGATTGCAGGAGGGCGGTAGCTCTTCCGCTTGATCCAGGGCAGCCCTCCAAACCAGCAGATGAAAGACCAGCCATAGCAATATGGCTTGTCACTAGGCTGTAGACAGCCGAAGTCACACTTACCATCAGGCAATTTTAAGGCAGCATGGACAAGACTGGGTGAGATCTACCTCTTAAATCCCAACTATTTTCTTTACATGCATAAGCTGCCTTAAGTACTTTTCCCCCTGTGAAGAGGGAAGGGAGATTTTACCCCTCCCTCTAAAAACAGCTGCAACTGACTATCCAGGGAAGTTTTAAAAAATGTTGCAAGAATAACCTGATCCTAATTGGAATTTTATTTCTTAAAGTTTGTGGATTAAAAGACTTTCTACTCTTACTGAAGATCTGGGTTTTTACTTATAAAAAAGAAGTAAAACTGAAAAGATTATAAAAACTTCAGACCTAAAGGAAAAATTTAAATATAGGGACGACATGTTGTGGCTAAACCTGATATTACAACCTGTTATTGTTTAAAAGAGACTTGGCTGGCAGCCTAGACCAGGGCTTTTCAACCTTTTCACGCATTGTACCACTTTTAGGATATGACAACATCCGAGTACCACCAGTCACCTAGCAAGGTGTCAAAAACTTGATGACCCCCCCCAAAAAAGGAAAAAAGTGATAAAGTACAGGTAGTCCTTGACTTACAACAGTTTGCTTAGTGACTGTTCAAAGTTACAATGGCACTGAAAAAAGTGCCCCCCAAGCCACAGCCGAGCAAGACGCCTGCCCGCCCAGCGTCACTCTTCCTCCTGTCCGAGGTTTTCATTGTTGTGAGCATTTCTGTTGAGGATTGGCAGCAGGGGTGGGGTGGGGAGGTGTTTGGTTTTTATTCCCCCTGTCTGCTGGGTGGTTGCAGCAGGTTTTGGTCACTTCACATGGCCCTGTGACACTGTGACCGTCATAAATATGAATCAGTTGCCAAGCATCTGAATGTAAATCACAAGACCCTGGAGATACTGCAACATTCCAGCTGATCGGCACTTCTTCTGGGCTCAGCAGAAGTGCCAGGATCAGCGCTGAGCTCCAGCTGGAGCCTGGCGCTTCCACTGAACCGACAGTCCCGAAGAAGCACTGATCCTGGTGCTTCCGCTGAGCCCTGACCAGCCCTGCAGCTCCAGCCATCTCTCGCTCAGGCTTATGCGGTGCTGCCACTGGTTCAGCTCATTCCCCTCCCCTGCTACCACTTTTCTAGGATGGTCGCATACCACCTGCCAGGTGCCAATGTACCATAGGTGGTACCCGTACCACTGGTTGAAAAGCCCTGGCCTAGACAATAGATAAGACTTATAACCTTGAGACACTTATCAGCAGTGAAGCCCAGCTGTGTTCCATACCCACTGGAAAAAAATATATATTGCAAAGCCTTTAATCTAACACATTACTAAGAGAATATGGAGGAAGATCAGGAACAGATTTTTATTCTGAAAGCGATTTACCAAACTATTCTTACAGCTACTGAAGAAATAAGGGGTTACAGAATAGAACGGGATGTCAGCCCAGATATACAAACTCAAATTTTGATTACAACTGAAAAATCAACTACACAGAATATAATGGAAAAAGTGGACCAATTAAATACTATGACTGAGGATCCAATTAAACGTTAAATTTAAATATTTATGGGAAACTAAAATTTGGGAAAAACTTACTAGGACATTGATTGTCTAAAAAGATTGAATGTTAAAATGACTAAGATATGTATAAACTAAAAATTATTGATAAATGTAAGAAAGCTATTTGCATTAAATTGATATAATAAGAATTGCATTAATTCAAATCTGAGACAGTAAATACCAAGGGAAAAAGAGAGGAAATATTTAATGTAATAATTTGTGATTTGCACTAAAGAAATTTGTATGTTATTGAATTATGAACCAACCCAGCTGCCATGCTGCTTTTCAAATATGTAAATATAAAACTGGAAAATCAATAAATTAAAAAAAAAGACAGAACCTAGAGATATCCCACTGCATGCTTCCCTTCATGTAAATGAAGCTCATTGAGGATTACCTGCTGAGTGCAGTTGGGTAACCAATTGCAAATCTTTTTTTAATATGTTTTATTGGTTTTTAACCTAATCTCCTTAATATTTAGTAAACAGCGCATTGTCTGGGT